ATTTCTGCTCCATGCTCCTAAAATCTGGATCAGACTTCCTGAAGTTGTGAGACAGGCTTCAACTCTGAATGTTTAAATCCAGGCTGAAAAGGCTTCTGTTTAACTGTGCAGATGGGAAATTAATGTATTTTATCTGGACCCGTCACTTTACATCTGTCTAATTTTGATTATTTTTCTTTTCTTGTTTTTCTGCTTTTAAATTCTCTGTGAAGCACTTTGAATCGTCTGTAAAATAAACTTGCCTTGCCTCACTGAATATGCGAGTTTCAAGAAGATTCTTGAAAGCAAAGAGATGTCCCACCATTTCAAAACCACAGAAGAAGAAAGCCTTCATGCCAGTCCAGAGAAAAACAAATGACGCAGTGGTCATTCCCACCTCTCTGACCCGTAGAGCTCCCAGGCTTTGGCCACTGCCCGGGCCAGACCAGCTGCAGGGTTGTTGTCGGGGACGCGTTGGCTTTCCTCCATCCTGCCGGCCACCTTCAGGATGTGCCTGTTAAAGACAAGACCATTCGTAAGTCTGCATCTGGATGAAAGAATAAGACTCGGTTATGTATTTATTCTAACTTGTTTATTATTGTTAATTTCATTTTAGACACAAGGTTTGAGTGGAGAAAATTCGACTAAAACAAAACAAACTCACCTATTTAACTCATTGGCTGCCAAAGGCGTCTATAGACGTCTTTTATGTTTTTCAATGTGAGTGGCTGGGGGACGATCTGCTAAAGCTTGTCCGTAAATATCAGGCTTCTAGACAGAGTATGTAGTAACAAATTGACCCTCTAGGGGGCAGTGCCACTTTTGATGGGAGATGAGCATAGACTGTAGGCAAATAAGAAAAAGGTAACGGTTCTATGAGAGAACATGTCGCCGGTGAGACGCAAGTCCAGGAAGAACGGAATAAGGTAGAAACAATTTTTTTTTCCTGATGAAAGAAGAGAGTCTACTCTTTCTTTTGGTGTGTTCGGTGTTTACATAGTCATAGCACAAACTATTATGTGGCTCTTGAAAAATCAATCAAAATGCTCAAAAAACTCTCGCACTATGGGACTCTCTGTTCTGAAAATGGCTGGCAGTCAATGAGTTAAAGATGACAAAAAATTATAAGTACATTTTGGTTGATTTTTTAAAGCAAGATTTATCCTTTTATTATCTACATACAACATAAAAATAACCCACTGACCTGTGTAGATCTGCCGTGCGGGACGAGAGGCCTCCAAAACTCGCAGCGATGGTGTTGATCTCGATCTGCTTCAGAGAGGACGGCTTATCCCCTCTCTGGTCCAACATGTAGTCAGACCGATTAAGTCCCAACACAACGGGCTGAAAATAAGGCCAGGGACATCCTTTTAGACCACACAAAGTACTACCAGGTGACCACGATGGTAGATTGTTGAATGCTCAGAACAGACAATTTTATAAAGCCAAAGCATCTTTCAGGGCTTTCTGCTTTTATTTCTTTTTTGTATCACTGTCAGATCTATATTTTTTTGTTGTTTGGTATTTCTCTGAGTTTATGAAGATGTGTGAAGACTTTTCATGTTAACAGAATAACATTGAACAACTTGTGCATCTTTTATATAAACTGGGTTACAACCTGATGCATCGTCCACCTTCTAGAGAAATTCATTAGAAAACCAGAATATTCTTTTAATAATTTCGATAAAAATATAAGAAGTGTTCATTCTAGTAAGTGAATTCAGATTTGAGCCTGTTTTTAACAGCTTCTTTCTTGCGCTGCTGCATCAATTCAAGTCTAAAATTATATTCTCAGTAAAAAACAAACAAACTAAAAGCAGAAATCTTTGATAGCTTTATAAATCTTCTGAAACCATTTGCAATGAAAAAGAAAAACTTAAATTCAATCAAAATTCATGTCTTCAATTTATACCAGTTAATCAGATTCTGAGCCGAATTTCTATCATTAACCACAGCCTGTGAGTCCAATACTCCTGAAACTAAATATCTTAGAAATTGAGTACAGTAATACATGCCAGGGCACATTTCAAACACATACCTGAGACCTTCCTTCTTTTAGGATCTGCTGGTGGATCCTGAACAATCTGGCTGTGAAGTCATCAACTTCAATGGTGCTAAAAACAGATTCTGTTTAAATCCTGAGAATAACAACTCCAGTTCAACCCCATAAGTAAGAAAAAGTTGGCTCGCTGTGTAAAATGTAAATGAGATAGATGGCACTAATTTTTCTGGGCAAATCTGATACATAATTACTTAATAAACATACTGATGGAGTTCTAATACTGATTTATTTCTGTTATAAAAAGCATTTTTTTCTTTCTATTTACCACTGTATAAATCAGACTAATGTGAGGGTGTAATGAACTGACATTGATTGGATTATGTGTGACAATGCTCTAGATCATTATTATTATCGTAGTAAACTATCTTTCATTTAATTTGAAAGTTTTCCAAGTCTTTTGTAATAGAATTTGAAATCAATACATTATGATATTTATGAAGAACATGTGGAAATATTTAAGGACAAACCCCAGAATGCGATTCTTCTCTACCGTCCTAAAACGGAACTCCAATGGTGCCCACACTGAGTCTTACCTGGCTAAAGCCTCCTGTAGGAAGTCTGTGTCTTGGCTGATCTTGTCCACCAGTGTGTTGTAGTGGGTTTGCACAGCCAAAGCCTGCAGGAACACGGCTTTAGGCACTGGCGATGGGAAGAGCGTGAAGGGGGCGTAGGTCACCAACTGCAAAACAAGTTGTAAAATGCAGAAAAAAGAAGTCAGATATTAAAAACGAAATCACTGGGATAGGCTCCAGTTCCCCACGCGACCCCATCAGGGAATAAGCAGTATTGATAATGGATGGATGGATGGATTAAAAACAAAATCTCTTCATTATAAACACAATCACTAGATGTGGCTTGTCAGAGCTGATTGGAACAAAAAAACACAATAAAAAGCAAAAAAAAAAGCATGTGTATTCAAGGTCTGTCACTATTTTAATACACATTGGAACAGTTTTTTTGTTTTGTTTTTCTAAATTACATTTTTTACTCTATTTCTGTATAAAAACCCCATCTGGGCTAAACACATACAGTGGGGGAAATAAGTATTTGACCCCTTGCTGATTTTGCAGGTTTGCCCACTTACTAAGAATGCTTGTTTTTCCTCATCAGATGGTTATCAATTTTTATAAATTCATATGATGTGATTTTGTGGAATTTTCTTTGGGATTCTGTCTTTCACTTTTAGAATGTACATATGATTAAAGTTATAGATCGTTGCATTCTTTGTAAGTGGGCAAACCTGCAAAATCAGCAAGGGGTCAAATACTTATTTCCCCCACTGTATTTATTACAAATCCCACCTCTGATGAGTTGGGGGTCTCTTGGATCCTCATAAGGACTCCCTGTAAAAGTGCCTCATCTTTTGCCACATCAGCCAGCTCTTCAACCAGGGCAGTGTTCATCATCACCTCATCCAGTAACCCCTGGGCCATTGTGGTTCACCTGAAGTACAAAGTATGTACAAAGTATGTTAAAGTATGTGGTTTAATGGCACAAAACTCCAACAAGGAGTGTACTGTGTAGTCAGGTCACATTGTGGAAACAGAACAATACGTGAACACAAAAACAAGTTGGCAAAAACAGTGGGATAACAAAAATAACTAAGGCTTAGCTATCGATGTTTATTTCACTGGTTCATTTGATTTTTTTTGTTGAATTGCACTTGTCATGTTAGCCGTAAAAGAAAGTTTAAGTTATGTGTCAAAAGCTTTCTTAATGCAAGCACTTTGGCTCTAAATCAAATAGCAATCAAGATAAATAACGTGACTTTTTTCTTATACTAAATATGATCTTCAGTGGTGGATAAACCCGTTGTAAAGCCTACTAAATAATAAATAATGTAGAAAATGATCTTCTGTGTAATAAATGTGTCATAAATCTGTACACAGAACTACATCGAACCTGACCCAACAGCTACTCAACGGTCACAACTGAAAGCAGGTAGATTCAAATCTTTGGCTAACTGACAGTGGCTCGAGACAGGAGCACGTTGGCTCTACCTACCTACCTTAGCTAGCCGGTTTCAACGGTTAGTTCACGGGTGCTCGACACGTAAAAGTTTCACGCTTGTTTCGTCGCCGTAAACTACAACTGACTTCCGCGGTGTCCCTGTGATATCAGGTGGGTCCGTATTCGACGTGAGCTGAAAAAAAAACCAGCAAAAGTGAGAGCCCTCGCGACACCCTGTGGCAACTTTAGCCACCGGAAGTGCCATTCTGGTGGCCATTGCCACGAACTGAACCAGTTCGTGCTATATAAAAAACTTACCATATCAACTTTAAATCGTATACAAATTCACTATGTGTTAATTTATATGAGCAATAAGTATTTTGGACCCGTTTCTGAGGTCACTTTCTCGCCTACTTGGCTTTCTGTTGTCAAACCAAGCCAGCTGAGAATCACGTGACGTGACGTGAAACCGTCATGGCGGCGCTGGGCTGAGATAGAAAACCCTACTGGTCGGACTGAGACAGCCCTGGGATTCCGCTAGCTTTCCTTGTCACCTGCCTTTTTCGCAGGGGTGTCGGGCCGAGGATGACGGCCTGAGTGCGGAGCCGGGCAGACGACCGAGAGATGCAGCAAGAGACTCGCCGCCCCCCCCCGCAGCAGCCTCAACACAACCCGCAATCCAAGGCAGAAAACAGCAAAACCAAGAGCATGTTTCTGTCCAGGGCGCTGGAGAAAATCCTCTCGGATAAGGAGGTGAAGAGGAGCCAGCACAGCCAGCTACGCAAAGCCTGTCAGGTGGCGCTGGGTGAGCTGTTTGTGCCGCACATTTTGGGCTGAACTCTGTGTTATGTGTTATATTCCCACATTTCGTTAGTCTGTGGGAAAGACTGTGGCTAGCATGGCTAGCTTTAGCCTTAGCATCTGAGTGGCCTCCAACGTCTGCCCTGTTGTCCGTTGACGTTAAACGTCAGCTTAACACGAGCTATTATTTTTGACAACCTGAACCCCACCTTTAAGCATTCACTGCCCCGTCCACCTTTTTTAGTGTCAGGACAAAGAGGTGGACGGGTTCACGCCTAGCAGGTCGTTAGCTCATGGGGGCTAATTCGGCCAGGCTAAACAGACCAATCCCTGCGTGGTACGTAGCATTGTCACCCGGCCAGACAAACCCAGACACACAGGCTATCCAACTCCCGGATACTCTGACGTCCCTTCTTTTTCCATTCAGCCCACAGATAGTGTTACACACACACACACACGCACACACTCTTGTTTATTATTTAGCTTTAGCTTGTCTGCGCATTTGTGGGAGCCCTCAGGTCCCCCTCTTGACAGATGTTGTGACAGCTGGGTGCGTCCTGCTACTGTACAGGTCTAATAAAAAGAGGGGGAATTGTGTTATATATATATTTTTTGGAGGATACAGTGTGGATGTAACCCGAGGTTTAAAGGCTGGTGTAGTTGATGAACAGGGTTGTGAGTTAGAGGTCTGATATGGTCTCTTACCTGTCTTATGCTCACAGTCTGGCATCATTTATGATAAGCAGAACGCAACACTTCCTGGGTTATTTTTTTCATGGGCTCCATGGACATTATGTTTGAAACTCTTAGAACCCTGTAGAGTTATATGTATGTTCACAATCACAAAAAATGGTCGAAAAGCATATATTTTGTCAGAAGACATACTATTCTTTCCTTTTTCTATGAAAAAAGGATATTTGAATCACATTTTGTTTAGAGAATTTGATCAAATTACATGAAATTCTGATGGGATTCTCCACAAAAGTAAAGAAAACCATAATAAGACATTGCATTATCGATCTGTGAGTAACCTGAAAACTTATTAGGAAGACAGTAAACCCCAATTAAAAAGACCCTGCCTTAACCAGCTGCAACAGAAGCAGGAACTTTGATAAAAGCTACGTTTTCTTTTCGTGTTAACTTCTTATTTTAAGCAGAAAGTTCTGTTATTGTCTCGTCTGTCCAGGGATCTCAAAGTCCAGTCCTGCAGGTTTTATGTTTCCCTGCTTCAGCACACCTGATGGAGTCTGAATAGATCCCTTCAGAAGATCGTTCAGCTCTGTATGTCTGCCAATGATTTATTGATTTTATTTAAGTGTTGACGCTTTGGAACATCTCAAACCTGCAGGCGTTTGAGATTCCTGCTTTTGGCCTTTAGCTGTTCAGGATTTAACCTGGTGTGGGTGTCCATAAGGCCCACGATTTGGTTTTACTCTCACAAAAACAGTTAATCCTAAAGGTTTCTATCATTTTTCACTCACTGAACGTGTCATCCATAGATAAATGACCCAGTGTCATCAGTCTAGGTCTTTTGTTGTTTTAATGCAGAATGTTTAAGATATTTCTGTGTGTTTTGTTGTTTTAATGCAAAATATGTAAGATTTTTATTTTTGTTTTAATGCAGAATAATTAACATATATTTGTTTTTTTTTGTTTTTTTTAATGCAAAATTTTGAAGAGTTGGACACAGTTTTAATCACATGTTTTTTGAGAGACAGATCCTGTTTCTCTGTGTAAATACCTAATTTCCAATACATAAGATGGCTGGAATTTCATCCATGATTGATTAGACATGTCGTGGGCAGTGAGTCTAACCGTGGGAAACTACATTTTTAAACTTTGCTCTATGGTAGAACATGAATCCTTTCTTTAAATTTGTGTCCAGGGTGAATTACCCAGGACAGTTAAAGCTGAGCTCACAGGCTTACAAAGCGTGTAAAAACAGGCCACTTAGAAACATGCTGATCATTTGATTGTGATGTTTCTGGTTAATGTTGCACAACCGTGTTTCCTCCATGAGGCTTTGAGATACAGGTTTGTCAGGGTAGAGTTAGACCATACATGTGCTTTAAAAAAAAAAATCTAATTGACAGGGTTGGTCACATCTGGCTTCAAACACAGGATTAGTGATTGAGTTTGCCACAGTGAGTGGGTCAGGGGTGTGTGTGTGTGTGTGTGTGTGTGCAAGAATAATGTAGAGATGGAACTTGATTTAGCCCGGTTAGCTCCGGGATCATGTAGGGTAGAGAGAGCAGATATTTTTACCTTTTTATCAGGCCTGGTCTCTGTTTGAATTCATCCATCCATCCTGGAGGCTGAAGGCTTTCCTAGCTTTCATTGGGTAAACTCTGGACTGCTCATATGGTTAAATTCTACTCCATAGATTGAATAGTTATGCGCAAAATAACAATTTCCTGCTAGGTATGATCCAATAAAAACACACCCTTCTGCAGTCTGATCAGTCACTGACAGAATCAGAATCAGAAATCCTTTAATAATCCCAGAGGGAAATTATTATTAGTTATTAGTATAACAGTATAATAACAGCTATTATGATTATTGTTAGTTATTAGTATAATAACAGTATAATAACAGCATAATAACCATGTTTCGTCTCACACTCGGCCTCTTCTGTCTGATTCACAGATGAGATCAAGGAGGAACTGGAGAAACAGAAGTAAGTATTCCCGCAGAGTTTTCCCCTGAACGCATGAATGAAAATGCAGGTCAGGGTTGGCGACTCGGGCTCGTCGCCGTGGCGATTTGTTGTTTTTATCACTGCTGCAGTGGAGCGCGTCGGCAGCACTTTCAGGGCAGCTTTCAGTTAATCCGCACGCAGCCAGAGGCAGGCCGCCATCCATAAAGGGCTAATGGCTCCTTTATAAAGCGCTCGGGTTAACTGCAGGTTGATTTTGGCGTTTTCTGAACACAGAGATGTAGAAAGTACTAGAGTAGAGTATAAAAAATATTAAAAAATTGACTTGGGTAAAAGTAGAAGTGTTCTTTCAAAACCATACTTAAGTTGAAGTACAAATTTTTCTTTTAACTAAAGTATTGCAAGTAGAAGTATTTCAAAAATTGCTACTCAAGTATTGAAAGTACAAGTATAGGTAAAAGTACAAGTATATAGTAAAGTAGATATTGTTTATATTATTTCAAACGTGTGAAAGGCCATACAGGTGTTTACAAAAACAGAAAACTACATCTGCATTAGCAATCAACAGCTCTTCATCTACTATTATTTATCATGCCAGTGTCAGAACCCTGAGCTGAGCCTTTATGCTAGCATGTAGCATACAGCTATCCAGCTAGGTTAGCTTTAGTTAACGTTATCATACAGCTATCCAGCTAGGTTAGCTTTAGTTAACGTTATCATACAGCTATCCAGCTAGGTTAGCTTTAGCTAATGTTATCATACAGCTAGCCAGCTAGGTTAGCTTTAGCTAACGTTATCATACAGCTAGCCGGCTAGGTTAGCTTTAGCTAACACTAGCTGCTACGTCCTGAGTGAACAGGGAGAACTGAACTAGCGCTTATTTACTATCTAATATGTCATTGTATTTTTTAACTTATCTTGATATGCTTCTTCAGATTAGATGGGGAATTTTTGAAGGCCATGATTTTGCAATCTTTCGGGAGGCTTTTTTTAATAGGTCTATGCTTAATCTCTCAAATCGTCCAATGAGGAGCCAGCTTCCCAAACCATGACAGAGCTATCTATCATTACGTTTACACATCAGTAACGAGTAACGATTCAGCCCCTGAAAGTAAAAGTAAAGGTATTAAATTAATCAAAAATATGTAATGGAGTGAAAGTAAAAGTAGGGAAAAAATATATATACTCCAATAAAGTACAGATAATGCATTTTGGTAATTAAGTACAGTACTTAAGTAGTTCTACTTTGTTACTGTACATCTCTGTCTGAACACTGTTTGTGGAAACATGTCACTCATTCCTTTGTTTTCCAGGGATGGCACTGTGGTCCCACCCAGAGCCAACTACATCGAGGCGGACAAATATGTGCTTCCCTTTGAGTTGGCCTGCCAGTCAAAGTCCCCCCGGATAGTTAGCACCTCTTTGGACTGTCTGCAGGTTAATATTCACCCACACACCCACACACACACAGACAAAGGCTTGAGTTCATGCCAACGGTTAGATAAACATCCTTTGGGATCCTTTTGTCTTTCCCACAACAGGTTTTTTAGGCTGTTTTACTCTAGAGTTGAAATGTAGTCGTACCTGTTTCGCTAGCTAATCTTTTACTTGCAGTTGCTTCGCCTGTGTGGTTTCTCTGTTTATAAGTTATTAATACACTTTCTGGTTTTTCCAGAGAGCAAAGGGAAGTTGTTGGATGAATTATTAGCGATGCACTGCTCGCCTCAGCAGATTTCGCAGTATTTAAAGACGGATATTTAAGCTTTTCTTTGCTAACTTTTCTCTGGACACTGAGCTATGGACACCGGTTATGTTGCACTTTACAGTCCATCGGAAGAGCTTCTAGAAGCAGCATACATTTATATTTTATGGAAAATTTTGTGTCACCAATTGAGGGCATGGAGTTTAAAACATATCAGAAAAGTGTCTGATGACCTTTGGTTGTATTTCCACGTATTCTTCAGTATTATCAGTAACTAAACTTTTCTTAGTCGTACGACAAAGCAAAGCAGCCTTGAAGCCATGTAAAAATATAAATACATTATAAAAGATACGTTTTTCAAATATAAAGTCATTGAGTTGAAGCGATATGAGTTCTGTTTATTCTTTGGAAAAGATTATAATTTAATCCTGAAATATGTTCATGTGTTCTCTGAATGGATTCCACACTCCTACGTTGAAGGTTAGCTCAGTTTTGATAAAAACAAAAAGATCCTCCTTTTTTAAGACAGCCAACCACAAGAACTGTTAATAAAAACTCAATTTTCTCAATAAAAAGTGTCTCAGAGAATGAAAAGAGTTGTAAACCCCCTGACCTGTGCGTTGGCCAACCACAAGAACTGTTCATAAAAACTCCACTCTCTCAATAAAAAGTGTGTTAGAGATAGTAGAGGGGGTCTAAACTTCTCTGTGCGTTGTCTCACAGAAACTGATCGCTTACGGCCACATCACAGGAAACGCGCCGGACAGCAGAACTCCGGGGAAAAGACTCATCGACCGGCTGGTGGAAACCATCTGTAACTGCTTTCAAGGCCCTCAAACCGACGAAGGGGTTCAGCTACAGATCATCAAGGTAGATCCAGAACGAGTCCTCCACTGGGTTTTTCAACCTTTTTTGAGCCAAGGTACATTTTTCCATAGAAAAAATCACGAGGCACACCAACCAAAAATGTCAAACAAATCTGTATCCGTCTATAGTAACACTATAGTTATTCTTATCTTATTCTTATCTTATCTTAAGTGTCTTGAATAGGAATCAAATAAACACAAAAATGTATTTTTATCATATTTTGTATTTCTTCTTTCACATTGCTCTTAACATGTCCACTTCAATATGCAAAAATATATACAAAATCTAGTCATAAGGAATTATTACATGATTACGCCACCAGTCACTAGAACAGCACAGACACTCAAAAATGGAATATTATTTGCAGATAATTAATTCTTTATCAAAAAATCTTTTTAGACCAATTAGGTGAAATAGGATGATTTTCTACGGCACACCTGACCATCACTCACGGCACACTAGTGTACCGAGGACCAGGGGTTGAAAAACACTGCTCTACTGGACACCAGTCTACACTGGAAACCCCCCACACAGGCTTACATCTTGTCTTATGTTTATGAGTTTAAATAACTTTAAGTAGCTATTAGGGATGTCCCGATCCAGCTTTTTTCACTTCCGATCCGATACCGATGCCGGCCTATCAGAGCATGTGTTAACCCTTTAAAGCCCGATCCAAGAATAAAACAAAACAGAAAATGACTTTTTTTTTTTGGTTTGAAGTCTTTATTTGGCCTTTTAACAAAATATGTAAAAAGAAAAAACAGAAATACATTTTTGATATTAATAATTTATTACTATGCGATAAGTCAAGATTATTTTTTGTGTAGTCTTCTGCCCCCTGTTATCAGGTGTATCTGATTGTGTACAACAGGATTTTGAGCAAAGTTTTTACCATTAAATTATGCCAAAGGTGTCAGACTTAAAACATTTCAGAAACCGTATGTATCATATATGATACATTTGGCATTTCAGGGTTAAAGTTTAAATTTATTTATCTACTTACTTAGTTGTCAAACTCATGTTGAACAGGGATTTACTCTGATAACAACTTAGTGGTTAGGACACAGACCTGTGGGTTACAGATGCTAATGCTAATGCTAAAGCTCGTGTGGGATCGGACTTTTAAAAAAACAGGATTTGGAGTCTGGATCTGCATTTTCTTCTGCCGGCGGATATGCAATTTTTTGCAAATATCGGCGGCCGATCCGATCCACATATCGGATCGGGACAAGCCTAGTTGCTCCGATTCATTTTCTGATCTAAGTGTTTAAAGTTGTATATGAGACTGTTTCGATGCACATGTAGTTTTTCACCTTCTCGCCTTCAGAGTTTACTTTTTTAGGCGTTGCACATCCTGGTTTGTAAGAAAAGTCGTTTCTCCTTAAAGAGGCTCAGCTTTATCACTGTTGACAAAAGATTAGCAAAAGATCACCAACAGCTGTCATGCTTAAGGAGACAGAACCATATAATAAAACCGTGTTTAACTCATTCGCTGCCAAAGACGTCTATACACGTCTTTTATGTTTTTCAACGAGAGTGGCTGGGGGACGATCGGCTAAAGTTTTTCCGTAAATATCAGGCTTCCAGACAAAGTATGTACTAACAAATTTACCCTCTTGGTAGCAGTGCCACTTTTGATGGGAGATGAGCATAGATTGTAGGCAAATAAAAAAAAACGCTATGGTTCGCTATGAGAGAAATGGCGCCGGTGAGACGCACGTTGAGGAAGAACGGAATAAGGTAGAAACAAATTTTTTTTCCTGATGAAAGAAGAGAGTCCACTCTTTCTTTTGGTGTGTTCGGTGTTTACATAGTCATAGCACAAACTATTCTGTGGCTCTTGAAAAATCAGTCAAAATGCTCAAAAAACTCTATGGGACTTTCTGTTCTGAAAATGGCTGGCAGTCAATGAGTTAAGCACACCAGTTGTGTCTCTCAACATGGAGGCAGATCACTTCTGAGGTTCAGACGAGGGCAAGTCGGAGGGTGATTCAGCAGGAAGGTTAGCTCGCAGCATCCTGTGTGATCAGTCTGGTGTTAGTTTGGTTCTTTAGCTGGAAGCCTGAGAATAAACCGGAGTAGATCAAGAGTACAAATATGACATTTACTGGTCATAAGAAAAGTAAATCAGCTGGGCTCTCACAGATAAAGTTCCCGGAGGATCTCAGTTAGCAAAGAGCCTCGATTTCCTGGTGTGATGGACAGTTTTCCTCTGGGCCTCCAACAGGAGGACGAGTGTTATTGGCCAGTTAGCTCTGACATGAACAGGCCAGATCCTAATTCATGCAGGCTTCAGTGAAATATGATAAGAAAGTGTGAATGTTGACCTTAAAGACGTGTATCTACTAGGGGTGGAACGGTTCACAAAATCCACGGTTCGGTTCGGTTCACGTTTTCGTGGTCACGGTTTTCGGTTCGGTTCGGTATATGTTGATTGTTAGGAAATTCTATTATGTCTTTTATAGTCAGGTTAAAGCAGTCTGACATTTGATCCATTATTGTGACAGTCTTAGGTTAGAAGTAGGTGAGATTCTGGCATTGCCAGAGAGGAAACAGTGCTAATTCCAACATGTGCTTCCCTCTAAATGCAGTGTGGTCCATACAGCAGACCTAGAAACTGCTGTTGGCGCGTCGGATTTTTATCGGCTACGCTGCTTTACTTCTTCTTCTTGTTTCCTACTGGTGGTTGGCTTTGGGCGCAGTAGCGCCCCCTTCTGGTCTGGAGTGTAAACGCTTCCCTCTGAGAAAAAGGAGCAGCAGGAACCGAACGCAACACACGCGAACCGAACCGAGACAGTCCAACCCAACGGATAACACAAATCCAACATGTGGATGTTGAGCTTAAAGACGAGTATCTACTGTAACAGAGAGAGGAGGAGGCACAGCCAGAGAGTTTAACCCAAAAGTATAATTCTAAAGGGAATAATATGAATCTAAAAGGAATAATACAATCAGTCATTTACATGGATTTACATGGAAATCAGCTGGGCTCTCACAGACACAGTTCCTGGAGGATCTCAGTTAGCA